CAGAACGTATACCCGTGGTATATCAACGTCGTGGTTTCCCGAAACTGCGTCAGCAAGCTTTGCGTAGGAGCGACTGCAAGAGGAGTTCGCTTGTGCTTTTAAAACTATACAAAAAAAAAAAAACACAAAAAAACGCACAGTTTAGCGGCATTGCATGTGAGCATGAAGTTCACATGCTTCTGTCAGCATTCTTTTTTGAAGTGCTTAATCTTTAAATTCAGTATCGTTTCATGGCAAAATTTATTATTATTGCATGATGAACGTTAAGATCCCACGTTAGCTTCCGCACTGCGGTGGCAAACTATCCGTCTACAGTAGGAACAGTTTCAATCCAGAACAACTTTTGATTGCCTAGACCTCCTCACAGAAAATATGTGCATACCTTTGAGTTTGTGACATGTCAAATGGAGTGCATTGCAGCAAACGCTCGAAAACATAAACAGAATTTATTAAACTTAATCACGGTGCTGTTTTTGTTTTGTTTTTGGAGCATGTGTTTCGAACTTTCGATGAATGCTTGGGATTCCTAGATTGCTGTAAAACAAGCATCTGAATAGCCGGTCATCGCACTAAAATGTGGAAGGGCGTTCTGTTAAAGTTATAATATTGATCGGGACGCAGAAAAGACGATGGGCGGACATGAACGCCACAGAAGCGGGGAAAAGTGAACTTGCGGGGCTCGGGACCTTTGTTTCTCTTGGGGAAAGTCCGCCTTCAGGCCACCTTCTATCGTTCAGGAGCACCCTCCCTGTGCTGCCCATGCCGCGCCCCTTCCCGATAACTTGCGTCATGAAACCCTAAACCTAGTACAACACGTTGTAAGCCAATTTTCTTACCGTGACACATCGAAAACTTAGAGAGACAATCCCTAACAGACCCCGGAATCGTGAAGCAAAAAATAAAAACGCAACCCTGCAAAAAAAAAAAAAAAGTCATGTTTTGCATTTTGTTTACTTTATTCCCTAAAAGAGGGCCTCAGCCACAACTTCAGAGTTGCTCATGAACACGTTTAGCTATTTTAGAGGTCGTTGTATTGGTCTTGGCATTCCTTTTATGCTCATTTATCTTTCGTTAATGCGTCTTTATGTTTGACCTACATACGTAGACCCACAAGCTAGAGATATTTCATACACGACACTGTTCCAACAAACTGATTTTTCAAGATGACCCTTTTGCACTCATTCGTACCCGCGTGGAATGGCGTCATCCTGTTGGACTTGAAAGCGGAAATAGACACACCTATCTACACCAAAGTCATTCGCATAAAAGCAGGAGCACAGGTTTAACCTGTGTGTCTGGGTTCTGTAAATAGTCTTTTTAAGGTCGAGCCCCCTTCATCGTCTCTTTTGTGTCTGAACGTGTGCGTGTTCGCATTCTTTCACCACAGCATCATAGAGAATGGTTTTGTGCGCCTCATGCAGATGGCGTCGCGAAAACTCACCCAGATGTACCCAAATATCCGTCACGCCAGCCGCCGCGCGTAGTTTAAAGACCCGAGATATTACCGTTTTTTGCTTTGCATTTTACGAAACGGAATCGCGATATTTATTTTAAAAAAAAATAAAACGTAATTTCTATCTTTTTTTACGATAAACGATACAAAAATTACAAGCTGCGAATTCCTTCAGCATTAAAATCATTCCATCGCCCCTTTAAATATTCTTGTTTTCGATCCACCGCCCAGCCCGTCTCACGTTGTAATGTTACCTCTCTTCGGTCGGATCCCTCATATAACAGGGACATAATAAACGAAAACGACCTAAAATCCGCTCGCAGTTTACGCCAGGGCCGTAAGCTTGTCGGAACTGGAACACACAAAATGTTATTTACGGAATGGCGTCTGGGCCCACCAGGCAGTGCGCCAGCGCCGTACATGAAGCAGTCAAGAAACTTCTCAAACTGAAAAAAAAAAAAAAAAAAGATGGCTCCCAGAAGTTTTTACTCTAAAATATCCTAACGCGAACAGAGAGGGTCATCATACCGAGTGAAAAATCCCGACGATGTCCCGACTCCTCAGCACGAATAACTTCGGTTGGGCGAGGTGGGGGGCTGTGTAACAAAAACTTAGTGAAAAGTTGTGCCCTGAATGAGCATGGTCGCGGGCTTTTTATTTCACAATTTATTTGTACGATATATAAAATGCGGCATAAATTAATATCGGATAAGCTTCGAGAGTTCGCAAGAACGTCGTGCCCACGGAACTTCAAATCTAAAATAAATGCTGTCGTCACGCTTTCTCCCCGCTTTTATCTTTTTGCTATATATTTCCTAAGTTAAAAGTCTTTCGGTCGCCAGCGCGTGCAGCTGACTAAATTGGGTGTCACCGGAATGCACCTTTCAGTGTCTCCCACCGCTAAACAAATTAATGGCGAGATATTTTTATTATCGTTTTAGCTACCCAGATTGTCTCACATTGGTTTGTGTCCTCTATCTTACTGGATCAGACCAGCGACAAAGACATTTCTATCAGAAGGGTAAACAAGACCAATCTAAACCTCCTTTGAAGGCTAGATGTTCAACCGTAAGCTTGTAAAAACTCGATCTCGCAAAATGTAAGCCACGGCATGGTGTGTCGGTCAGTCGATCTAGAGTTCCTGTATAAGCTCCATACAGGAGCCAGAGTTGCGCATTTGATTCCACGTGCCGCGTGCCGCACTCGCCGCTATTCGCCGAGGTCCGATCACGTGAGGAGCCGTATCAAGTGTCGTGCAGCAAAGTAGACGTTGCAAGCGCCCCGGCGTACGTTCCCCGGCTTTTGAGCGCGCGGCGCTGCTATTCGCCGAATTCAGTCACGTGAGGAGCTGTATCCATATACCATGCATGAACGCGCAACTCTGGCTCCCGTAGACGACCTGCCCGCCAGCGCCCTCTAGGAAACAGTCAGGTAACTTTTTGAAGTTGGAAGTAAATAGGAAAACGTAAAAAAAGAAAAAATGAAGGAAAAAGAGTATACCATAGAAAAGGGAACGTCAGCAATTTCAAAGAATCTGTGGAGCAAAAAAGAAAAAAAGAAGTAAAATAAAAGCATAAACTCCAGGACCGGATTTAACTTTCACAAGGCTAGTCATCCACGTTCCCCCTGCGCAGACTTGTACCGTACGCATTACAAGTAATCAAATTACTTGTAGTCGATTACTTTTTGGAGTAATTTTGTAATCAGTTGATTACTTTTATAAGGCAGTAATCACAAGAGTAGTCTGATTACTTTTTGAAGTAATAAAATTACTTGTAACCGTTACAATTTGTCCACGAGACCCCCCCCCCCCCCCCCCTTCCTGGCACACGGCATTTTTTTTATGAAACGACAAAAATGAAATTTGCTTTTTTTTTTTTTTTTAACGGAAAAAAGAAAGATTTTTGCGGAACTGTAGGAAACGAGGTCAATTTCTTTCTATGTACAGTTTCTGTGGAATGTCCGTTTTTTTTTTTTTTCGAGCTGGGACTGGGAGTGGGAACCTCCAGGGAAGCCACAGTGCGTGACAAAGGCCATTCAGGGCGAAGTTTGAGAAAGCAGAATGTAGCTTTGTGAGTCCTTCGTTCAAACTAGCCCCCTCACGCACACACACAGAAATAAAAAAAAAATCCTGCTTAGGGTACCTACTCGCTGCCCGTAGGAGAACCAGAACCGAAGAATGCCTAAAGCGGATGCAAAATATAACAAAGGCAGTTGAAATATTTCCCCATTTCCCCTACGTGGTCCTCGTGACAAGCAATGTTTCGAGTTCAAAAGTGGTCGGGGCGATCTCTTCCGCTAATGGATACTACACATGATCCGTTTCGAATCCTGGAGCTGCTGCTCTTTTGTATAACATGCGAGCTCATATACATGTGAATAATAAAATGAGCGACGCAAACTTTGAGCGACAACCCTTGCTCAAGCTTAACAAGATTAGAACCCCCTCAGCTCCCCCTCCCACACACACACACTGGCGAACGCCCAAATCATTAGACGTCTTCAAACGAACTCTATGCTTGTGTCCGCATTGTGAAGGTGCAACGACCACGAAGCGGGAGCCAGTTTTTCTTACTCAATACTTCTACAAATGTGAAATATAGGTTGGAAGTAGTTCATATTTATGAGCGCTAAATATGTAAGTCTTCACACAATAAAGTAATCGGAAAAGTAACGATTACTTCTTTAAGTAATGTCCAATTACTTTTGTCGTCGAGTAATCAAGTAATCTAATCGAATACTTTTTAGCCAAGAGTAACAGTAATTGTAATCGATTACTTTTCTTTAGTAACGTGTACAAGACTGCCCCTGCGCAAAGGAAGCCTGGCCCGAGGGCAGGCTTTCCCTTCCCATAATCCTTTCGAATCCCCAGGGGACTCCTGTAGCACCCCATTCTCTTTCCCCTTGCTCGCTCCTTCTATTTGAGAGAGGATATTCCTTCCGAAGGGAGGCTAGCGCACGCTGTGGGTGTTGTCACGCCGTCTAACTCCCTCGAACTCCCCTCCTTTCTTAGAGTGAAGGCTGACGTCTCGTTTAGTAAATATAAAACGAAATTAAAAGAAAGGCGCCTCTGGTACGGGGCGCTCAGGTTACGCGCAAGCGGACCAACGGATGTTTATATCTCGGGCTGAGCGCGAACGCTTGTTCTCGGTCGCTTTGGACTTTGGAGCTCGCTAGCATCGGCGCATCGGCGACTCCATAACACAATTCACCAGCCGGGATTTTTGTGCCACACGAATCATGAGATGATGGTCAGCTATATGTACGCAAAATCATTGAAACATCGACCAACCAAAAAGTACACCACATCTCATTTGTTACGAAAGCGTTTATTAACGACTAGTTAATACAACTGAGAAGACAGAGTACTGAGTTCGAGCGTTCGAGTTCGACGAGCTTGCCTAGACATGGCAGGTAACGCTGCTTGCTGTGTGTGTGTCTCTCATTGGTCAACGGTCCCAAGCCGCTTGCGCGATACTCGTGCTCTCTCTCGGTGAGGTGGCTCCCTCCCGTGTAGAAGAGAAGAACTTGTCTACATCTCGCTTTGTCACTCATAAATAAAATTTGTGTCGCGGTAACGGGCTGGTTTTTGTTTCGCTCTCTGTCTTCTGCGAAGAGCGATGCTGTTCCTTCTGCGCTGTATGCCCTCGTCGTCTTGAACAATGTATGACCTTGGCTGCGGGGCTCTAGCGAGTATGATAGCCGGTTTCCAGGTTCCTCGTTCTTGATCTTGAAGGTAGACGTCTTCTCCAGCGTGTAATTCAGGTAGAGGTTTGGCGCCTTTGTTGTAGTACCGTTGCTGAGTTCGTTGTTTGTCTCTCAGCCGCTGTTGTACCTTGCTTGGGTCTGTGCTTGTCCCTTGCAGTAGAGATGGATGTGTAGGGATTTCCGTCCTGGTATGTCTGTTCATGAGCCTTTCAACTGGTGATCCTAGAACTCCATCCCTGGGAGTGTTTCGCCATTCGAGTAGGGCGTCGTAGTAGTCTGGCGTTCCGTAACTGCACTTGGTCATGAGTTTTTTCGACTCCTGCACCGCTCTCTCTGCCATCGCGTTTGACTGAGGATAATACGGGCTGGATGTCACATGTGAAATTCCCCGGTGCTGCAAGAACTCTTTGAAGTCAGCGCTGTTGAATGGTGGTCCATTGTCAGTAACCAACCTGACAGGTAGACCATGCACGGCAAACGTTGCCAGGCAACATTTGATTATCGTCTTGGCAGTGGACCTTTGAAGCTGGTGCACTTCATAGAAAAAAGAGTAATAGTCCACCAACACAATGTAGTGGTGTCCCGAGTGCTGAAACAAGTCCACTCCAACAATCTGCCAGGGTGCGGTTGGCACTGGATGGTTCACAAGTGGCTCCTTCTGCTGCCTCGGCTTGTGCTCCTTGCACACGCTGCAATTTTCTACCACCTGCTTGATGTCATTCTGCATTGCAGGCCAGTAGAGAGCTTCTTTAGCACGATGGAGCGTCTTCTCTACTCCGCTGTGAGCTTTGTGAAGCCTTGCCAAGATGGTGCTCTTCATCTCCTCTGGAATGACGAGTCTATTCGACCTGAAGAGTAAGCCCTCCTCCTCATGGATTTCATCCCTGTACGGCCAATATGTCTTTAACGGGCCTGGAATGTCTTCTTTGTTGCTCGGCCACTGGCTCTTTGCATACTGCAGCATGGTACTCAGATCCTTGTCCCTGCTGATTGCTTGACGACATTCTTCCAGTGTTTCATCTCTTACAGGGAGACACTCCAAGACATTCACCTCGAAGACTTCTGACTCTTCCTCCTTCGAAGGGTTTCTTGACAGCGTGTCTGCAATGTACAGCTCTTTACCAGGAGTGTACTTCACCAGCAGGTCATATTTTTGTAGGGTCAGTTTCATCCTTTGTAATCTGAGAGGACATTGATTCAGAGGTTTTCTAAAGATCGCCTCTAGTGGCTTGTGGTCCGACTCCACGGTAACGGTTTGCCCGAAAATGTAGTCGTGAAATCGGCTGCATCCATGGACAATCGCCAACAGCTCCTTCTCGATCTGGGCATAGTTCTTTTCGGTGTCATTTAACGACCTCGATGAGTAGGCTACTGGCTGACCCTCCTGAAGCAACACTGCACCCGTTCCTCTGGAACTTGCATCAACTGACAGAGTTACTGGTTTGTTCTTGTCGGAGAACCGCAGAGTTGGTGCAACAGTCAACGCTGTTCGAAGTGCTGTGAAGCTTTTATCGTGCTCCTCTGTCCAGGACCAGGCCGCCTCTTTCTTCAAGAGTTGCCTTAACGGTGCACTTGTGTCGGACACGTGCGGGATGAACTTGCCAAGGTAGTTCACGACTCCTAGGAAGCTCTCCAGTTCCCCCACATTTGATGGTCTTGGGAGCGCAAGGATGTCTTGTACCCTCGTCGGGTCAATCGAGAGTCCCTCAGGTGACAAGATATGTCCCAAGTACTTGACCTGGCTTTGAGAGAACTTGCATTTTTCTTTGTTCAGTCTGAGGTTGATCTCACGACACCTCTGCAGCACGGCTTGCAGTCGACGGTCATGCTCCTCTTCCGTCCTTCCCCAGATAAGAATGTCGTCGACCATGATTTCAACTCCGTCGAGACCTTCAAACACCACATGCATAGTCTTCTGGAACACCTCGGGAGCTGACGATATGCCAAAAGGCATTCGGAGAAATCTGTATCTCCCGAACGGTGTTGCAAATGTGCAGAGGTACGAACTTGGTGTGTCTAGCTTGATCTGCCAAAACCCCGTGGCTGCGTCGAGTGTCGAGAAGAACTTGGCTCCCTCCAGTCGTGCTGCTATGTCCTCCAGTGTAGGCATACAGTAGTTTTCTCGCATGAGAACCTTGTTGAGCTCTTGTGGATCTATGCACAGTCGGAGTTTGTCCTTCTTTTCCACAACCACGATTGGGTGGACCCACTCTGTTGGTTCTGTCACCTGTGCAATCACCTTCTGTTGCACGAGGTCATCTAGGTGGCTTTTCAGCTGGTCTCGGATGGCTACTGGGACTGTACGTGGCTGTTGCGTAACACCCTGAGTATCTGGCTTGAGCTTCATGTGATACTTGACACCCTTGATTTCACCAAGTCCATGAAAGACGTCCTCGTGTTATTTTACTGTCTGGTTGCAGTGCTTTTCCGCTGACGCCACTCGCTTGATCAGGTTCAGTCGTTCCGCAATGGTACCGATTATCGTTGTGGGTACTTCCCGTTTCACGATGCAGAACTGTACGTCGGTACTCTGGTTGCCATGGGCGACTGGCATTATAATGCGGCCTTCCGCTTTGCTGACATGGCCAAAGAACGAACCTATTTTCGTAATGGCTGCTTACGGTTTCTGTTTCGCGACTCGTCGCAGTTGCGTTGCAGACATAACAGAACAGTTTGCTCCTGTGTCCACCCTGCAGTCAACTGCCTTTCCTGCAACTCTGACTTCAGCTCTCCAGAACTGTTCATCACCAACACTGTTGGATAGACCACAAACCAACTTCTCTTCTTCGGAGCTGGAACTTGGAGATTTGCATCGTTCAACATTGCGAACATTCTTCCGTGGTGATGCTCTATTTTTTGGTGGGTCGTTCTTCGCGCGACACACTCGAGCGAAATGTCCCCTCCGACCACAGTTTTTACACTTCGTACCTTTGGCAGGACATGTTCCGCTTGTGTGCGTAGAGTATCCACATTGAGGGCATGTCTCGGACTTGAGTCCATGTACAACGGCAGGTGATGCTCCAGCTTGGATATCTTTGAACTGTAGGGCTCCACGTTCCTCCGTGCGGCACTTTTGAATCACTTGTTCCAAAGTCGGATCGTCGTTGATGAGGCGTTGTTGCAGTCGCTTGTTGGTCATTCCAATAATGATTCGACTTCGCAACATGCGGTCGTGTAGCTCGCCAAAATCGCACTGCTTCGCCAGCGTGCGCAGCTCGGTAAGCCAGTCATCGAATCGTTCGCCGTCATGCTGGTTCCGTGTGCCGAATACAAAGCCCCTGTAGCTCACGTTGATAGCAGGCTTGCAATGCTTTTCAAAAAGCTCCGCTATTTTCTGAACGCGCAGTTCGTCACCTGGGTTTTCGAACGTGAACGTTTTGTAGACGCGCCTCCCTATTGGAAAACCCCAATATAAACAGCGTATTGTGGATATTGGTAAACAATATTTTTTATTGTATTGCAATACGATATGGGCAGTGTATTGGAAAACATTACATTTATTGTATTGTATTACAGTAAGGGTTTGTTATGGGATTCCAATATCCATAATACGCTGAAAACATTGGAATCCAATACCGTATAAACCCTTATTGGATCCCCATGTGTCTATGGGGATCCAATAAGGGTTTACGAATCCAGTGTACTTAGCGTATTATGGATATTGCAATCTAATATATTATATCGGCTACCAATAAAACTATACAAGAGTTGGAAAATCACGTTCAGCGCAGCATTTCTCCGCAACGCAGTCTCTTCTTGTGTGTATTTCTGAGTGATAAAATAAAAAATGTTGCTGTTGTCAAATTATGAATAAAGAAGCAAAACACTGGGCTTATCCATAGCAAATATATTTAACATATTCCTGAACTGGAGGATCTGGCATTTACTGCAAAAGAAAGTCAATTGTTTAGGACCCTCATTCAAAAACTTGCTGTTTGAAAACAGAACGTGAAATCCTCACCTTTCAATGAAAACAGCACCTGCTAGCTGTAGCCATATAGAAGCTGCAAAATAAAAATTTGGGATTAGTTTGCAACAAGTAGCAATCCTTCACTAAGCTGGATAGATTCAAAATTATGTCGGTGTTTGATTGTGGAAAGATAAGCTTCCATTCCACTGCCACGGGTCATTCTGAGCTCGGTCAATTAAGTACACCTATCCGCTCGTCTGGCTTCACAGTTCCTGCTTTGCACCTAACCACGGTGAAAGATACACTCTTTAGGTGAGGCCACGCCGGGGCTGAACGTGCGGCGCGAGGAATCAAATAGTGTTCGTTCGACGGGCATCCGAAAGACTGCATCATTCGGCTGCCACCGTGCCCGCGACTGACAGTGTCGCCGGCGGCCAAACGGCGAAACTGTGTGACAGCAAAAAAACATTATCTCGTTGTCATGACACCCCGGTACACCATGGTCTTTCTGCACGTGTGACAACCTCGCTGGAGCTCTGCGCGTGTGCTACATAAGGCGGCACGAGCCATCTTGAACGTGACCACGGGTCGACGAGTCACCTGCTGGCGTTGCTTGAAACCAAAGTGAGAGAGTGTGAAGAGCAAACTTCCATCGGGCCGTGGCCAAGAGCGCGCTGTCCTCACCTGAAGAGTATTATCTTACACCATGCACCTAATTAAAGTATCTGGAATGCTCACCTTTGAGGAAAAACGAACTGGTGCTTGCTTGCTTGTAGGCCGTGGAAATTGGGACAAACTGGGAGAGATTTGCGATTAGTTGCGTTCAAGTAGCAATTACATTGAGTAGCCCCGTAAAGTACACTAAGTCGATAGGGTGGAAGCTTGGGCGATTTGGTGAACCATACTTGGCGGTGACAGCGCAGCAAAATTAATCTCACACCAGACACTCAGGAAGACAAGCACACGCGCTGAACTTACAACTCTTGTGTATTCGACTGCTTCATTTTTCTCTTCCAACGTCTGGGTTGACTTTTCAGAACGTGATAAGTAGAAGAAGTAGCACGAAATACAAAGGAAAATTCTAAAGAGAAGGCAAAAGAACAGTAAAAGAGAAGACAAATGAAGAAACGGAAAAATATCTCAACGAAACACTTTTCCAAATTGTCCCTCTCCCTCATCGCTATCATTTAGATAGAAATTGGAGCTCTTTGGTCGACAGCGCTATAGAAAGACTACTTACAGACTTGTCCTTCAGCTGTGCTATCCTTTCCGCTTCCATTATTTCTCTAGTCAATGCGTCTCTACTCATACCTATTACAGAACAATTTTCAAAATGTGCTATACAGCCACAATCGCGACAATGGATTCCCAAGTGTCCAGCTACGACTCGGTGGGTGTTATAAAAATGCTCTCTTAAACGATCATTCAAACACATTCCAGTCTAGCCTACATACTCTCTACCACATGAGAGTGGGACAGAATATACGACTCCTTTAGTACAATTTACAAAGCTCTTTTGGTGCTTTTTCAAACAACCTACTTCCCGGTGTGCCGTCATTTACCTTCCTGCACAGGCTTAGAAGCTTAGTTGGTGCTGAAAAAGCAACATTAATGTTAATGCAGTTACCTACCTTTTTTAGACCGTGCGAAACTTTATGTATATATGGAACAACGGCCGTCCTTTTCTTTTCTGTATTGCGTTTAGGTCGTTCACCCCATCTTATTCTCTTTAATAAATCCTCTGCCACGGCTGTAAGTAATGCACTAGGATATCCTGTTGACTTTAACCTGGCGATTTGAGCATCAAAGCTAACCTTAAGTGAATGAATACAAGACTTATTAAGCACACTGGTGAGACATAATTTAACAATGCCTCGCCTAACAAGCTTGGAGTGTGCTGACTGAAAATTAAGAGGTTTCTTCCCTCTCGGTTTGTATGACCAACATACATGATGCTCCGAAAAAATTAATCTGAGGTCCAAGAACCGTAAGGAACCTTCTGTGGAGAGCTCATGAGTGATTTCTGGTGGATCTATACAGGATTTACAACAGGA